GTTAATCATTTTAAAAATTCTGACATGGCCAGGCATGGAGGTGCACACCTTTTAGTCCCCGTACTCGGGAGTCAGAGGCAGGCGATCTCTGTGAGTTCAAGGCCAGCCTGGTCTACATAGTGAGTTCCAGGCCAGCTGGGGCTGCAGGGAGACCCTGTCTCAAAAAGATTTTTTTTTTTTTTTTTTAAAAAAAAAAAAAAAAAAAAAAAAAAAAAATCGGACGTACTCAACCTCAACCACAGGGAGACTCAACACTATTCCTACCTATTTGATTTTGAATTTTGTGGTTTTCTCTTCATTGATTTCTTCTACCAAGAAGAGCAGTTTCCTAACAAGAAAGCGTCTAACAATTAGAAAAAAAGAAATTAGATCTATTTTATGAATAAAGTAGGGTCAAGAACTATCTAATTTATAAGTCCTTATGCAAAACATGCTTAGGCTAAGGGATTTCACTGCAGAGCAATAGTTGTTAGTTAGGATGATCTTCCTCTTTAGGGGACATTTGTTAATGTCTGTCAACATTTTGAAGTGTTGTAGTTAGAGATGTAGTTAGAGATGAGGGATGATGCTGGCCTCTAATGTCTACAAGCCAAGGATGTTGCTTAACATCTTACAAACAATACATTTTCCTCTACCCTGGAGGACCGGAGGTTTAGCAGTACACAGATCATTTATCTTGAGCTGTTGAAAATCAAGCACCAGGGCCAGCTCTTGAAATGCACCTTCAAAATCTTCATGTTTCTGTGTTTGTGTGTCCAGAGATGGGCAGCCCTGTGGCCTGTTCTTTAAGATTTCTTCTTGAAGGACTGGGAAGATGGCTCTACAGGAGAAAAGTGCCTATTCTGCAAAGATGAGGACTTGAGATTGAATCCTCAGTATCCAAGTAAAAAGCTGAGCATGAGTGTGCAAGCCTATAAACCCAGCATTGGGGGCCAGAGATACTTGGATCCTGAGAGCTCACTGGCCACCCAGCCTAGAGGTGAGTTTCAGGTTCAGTGAGAGACCAGGTAGAGGGAGATAGAAGAAAATACCCTATGTCCTGCTCTGGGTTCTGCATGCATGTGCATAGGTGCACATACCAGCACATCCATATGCATGTACCACCCCCCAAATGTAAGCAAAAAGCTATTCTCTTGAAAAACGAGATACTGTCAGTTTCATGTAAAACTTTTTAGCAGCTCTAACTTTTACTCTTCAAATTGTTTTTTAAAAAATTATTATTGTGTATATTATATGTATGTGCAAGTGTGGGCATGCACACACTATGGTGTACATGTGGAGATCAGAGGATGTGGTCTTTTGAAAAAGTGACTCCCAGAGGCTCCAAGTATTTGGTCCCTTGGTGCCCAGTTTGTGGCACTGTTTGGGGAGGGTCATGGAGCCTTTAGGACTTGTGGCCATGGTGGAGGGAGTTTGTCACCGTGGGCAGGCTTTGAGAGTTCAAAGCTAAGTCCCACTTCCAGTCTATCTTGCTCTGTTTCTTGTACCTGCTTGAAGATGTGAGTGCTCAGCTTGCTGCTCTGGCCTCCTCTACCATTGCCATGATGGACTTTTGTCCCTCTGGAACTGCAAGCCCCAAAATCTCTTCCTTCTATAAGTTGCCTTGGTCATGGTGCTTTATCACAGCAACAGAAACATAACTAATGCAGAGGACAATTTTGTGGAGTTGGTTCTCTCCTTCCACCTGTATGTGGGTTCTGGGGATCAAACACAGGCTGTCAGGACTGCATGGCAAGTGCTGTTGCCCTCTGAGCTATCTTGCCAGTCCTGGTTTTACTCTTTGGGAACTGAAACGTGTAAAGAAAATGAGGTGAGGCAAAGCATTCCATGAAATATTTTTTCCTTGCCAGTTGATCATCGGGGTATGTACCCAATTCCAAAGTGCCCTAGGACCCTCCTAAGAGTCTTACAGTGAGGAGGGGCCCGAGAGTTGGGGTGTGACTGAGGCTGCACTGATCAACTCCTGTAGAAAACACACCCACTCTTTGTTGTGAGCTCCCAAGTTGGGCTTCTGATGTCTACAACAGAACGCCTTCCAGGTTTCAGTGAAGAATGGGATGGAATCAGAGCATTTTGGTAGAGCACATGTGTCTAGAACCTCAGGGTCCCCCAAATTTTAGTGAAATACTGGGTGGAAACAGCAGTTTGGTAAAGCACATGCAATTGCTAAGTGGAAAGTGTCTTCTAAAGAAAGATCCACTCATCCTTTTGCCCCTAGAATAATCCAGGGAGCTGAGAGTGCCAGCCGTGTGAGTAGGAGGTGGGGTTGCTTCCAGCTAGCATGTAGGGCCATGGTCAAATTTAGATTCTGAAAGGATTTCTCTGTAGAATGTACCTTTCCATTAGGTCTTCACATGTGAACTGTGTTGGTCTCAGAAACTCCATGCCTAGCTATCACATATCCCAGATTGCTTGGCACATGAGCCTTGACTCTGGCTTTTATATAAACACATATTTTCATGCTTCTGGTTGAAAACGAAGAGCATAACCCCTTTCCAAGATCTCTAGAACACACTGTGCATGGTAGCACCAACTGTTGCACAACTCTTTGGAATTATAAGTGTGAAAATTGTAAGTCTCAAATCAAATGTATGTCCTTACCTATTTCTCATATATACTTCAGTATCTTGGAAGATGAAAATTCAAGGTAGGTGTTTAAATTTCTCCAGAAGTTTAAAGGTTTGACAATTATCCATGAATAAAACGGATGTGGACCATATGAGCAGCTGAATGGAGGGCGGATACATGTTGTCTAACCCACAAACACCAACAGGGGCTATGGGTAAGTGAAACAGGGCATTAATTTTATGTTACGCTTTAGTGGAATCTTGCCACTCCATCAAAGTGTTCCCATTTTCCAGGATACTGTCTGCCTATTATGGGTAATCTTGATTGTCAACTTGACAGGATACAGAATCATCATGGCGACAAATCTGTGGGCATGTCTAGGAAAGATCTAGAATGGGTTATTTGAAGTAGGAAGACCTACTCAAATGTTGCCACCATTCCATGGGCTAGAATCCTGACTCTGTAAAAAATACAAGGGGAGATGAACACTAATATTCACGTCTGTCTGTTTCCTGAATGAAGTTACCATGTAGTGAGCTGCCTCTCTCCTGACTCCACATCTCCATGCCTTCTCCATCATGATGGACTGTACCCTGGAACCATGAGCCAAAATAAATTCTGCCTTCCTTAAGTTGATTTTATCAGGTATTTTGTCACAGTAATAATAAAAGTAACTAATGTACAAATGTTCGCTTATCAAAATGTTCCTCATTAATACTTTCAGAACAAGACGTGGAGAGCTTTGTACTAAAAAGAACCCCCAAAAACCAAAACCCAAAACAACCAAACAAAAAAACCCAAAAGATACATTTTTAGGGGGAGGGGAAAGAGACTTGGAAGAATAAAATCTCCATTGTTAGTATATCAACAAACAGGAGCACAGATTCGGAGACTGACTGTGTGAATGAACCATGGCTGTACCACACATAAAAACAGAACACTAGGGTTGGGGAGATGGCTCCGTGGGTAAGAGTGCTGTATGAGGACCTGAGTTCAAATCCCCAGCCCCTATATGAATAAAGCTTGGTGTAGCTATGCACGCCTGTAATCCGAGCACTGTCAGGCAGAGACTGGAGTATCACAGGGGCTTGCCAGTCTGTCTCCCTGAGAGAGCCCATCTCAAGGGAGTAAGATGGAGCATGATAGAGTAGGACACCCAATACTGATGTCCTTTCCTGGCCTCCACGTATCCATGGGGTCACACACTCACACTCATGTCCATGAGCCTCATTACCACATAGACAAAACCAAACCCAAGAACAATCACTCCCCTGATCCCAAATCTACAGCAGTGGGTCCTAGAAGCTGTGCCATTGCTCTCTGGTAATGAGTCCACATGGTCAGGGCTTGACCCAGAACTCCCAGCTTCCCTAATCTTTAGCCCCTCTTCTTTCTTCATCCCAGTGAGAGAAAGCCAATTACATTCTCCTAGACAAACACACAGGACATCCCACTTCTTAGTCCGGCTCTAGCTCCCTCATGCCAGCAGCCTTGAATTAGGTGACATCTGGCACCTTCCCTGTCTTCCTAGTCTTCTGCCTGCCTTTGAGTCTCTGTCAATGCAGGGGGCAGATTCTTTTGTAGCGAGAATTGAGCAATTTCCTTCCTATTTGGGTTGTTTTCATTTATTGTTGCATTTAAAAAATATTTATTTTTATTTATGTGTATGTGCCTGCTTGTCGGTATGTGCAATATGTACATGTAGGTGCCTGTGGAGGCCAGAAGAAGGTGTTGTGTCTCCTTGAACTGGAGTCAGTTGTGAGCCACTGAGTGTGAGTGTTGAGAACTAAACCCAGGTCCTTTGGAAGAGCAGCGAGTGCTCTAAACATTGAGTCATCTCTCCAGACCCTAGTTTCACAAGTTTTGCTTATTACACAATTGCTAATTGGCTAGAGAGTATGAACTTAATGGATTGGATACAGGAAAGTCAAATTTTGTTTCTGCAGAAGTGGAAAAACCAGAAAGAATGGGACCTTATTTATAGATGTAAGGATACTTGATCCCAAGGTTGGGGAATATTTATAGATTTAAGATTGAAAGGAAAAAGAAAGATTGAGTATTGTAGACAGACTATTTTACACTGTTGCAGAGAATCAACACAAACCCATAAAAATAAAAATCCCTTGTTTCCATTAGCAGACATAAAGTGTTTCCATGTGAACATCTCATTGGATACTCACAAAACTTAAAGAGAAGAGGTGTTTTGGTTCCAAATTTGAGTAAGTTTATCTCTGGCTGAGGGGACCATCTTGGGGCACTCAGAGTGCCTATGTAGGGTCATCAGAGGAGGGAGGCACAGCACATGGGTGATGGCAGAGCCAGGTGCCAGCATCCTGGGCTCTGCCTCTCTCACACCGGCACCAGTCCCAGCATTGCCACAGTCCCATTCTAATCGCCCTATTCCTGAAACCAAGAATCACACAGTCTCAGACCTGGATGTGTAGAACAGATGACAATGAGTTCCTGGCTTGCGTCTCCAGATAGTATTACAGGGATAAGAAGCTCCCAACACCCTCTTGTATTTTGTATTCTGCTTCTGGAATGTAAACTGTTGATTCTAGAAAAGATGACAGAAGATGTTTCAGCAAGAGTTAAACTTGGCCCATGATATTTTAACACATCTGTGCAGAAGCATACAGTCATTGACCCCTGTCTTTTCAATATGATTAATTATATCAAATGAAATAAGGGTATGAAGGATTATTAAGTAAAAAAAGCAGCAGAATTGGATTTAGCAGACCTCCTTTTTTAACTTAAAAAATTTATTTAGAATTTCATACATGTATATAAGGTGTTTTGATCAAATTCATGCCCATTCCCCCCCCAACTCCTCCCATATCTACCCATCACTTTTTCCTGAACAACTTCATGTACTCTTTCTTTCTTTTTTTTTTCTTAATGGGGCTTTTTGCTACTCTAACATTCCCCCCTCTGAAGCAGTAACCCTATAATCTTTTAGGGATTAGATAAAAGCTCCCAAATACTTTTGACATTTTTGGCCTTTGGAACATAGTATGTTGCTAAGAGGTCCAAAGATATTTTGACTTTTAGCCAAGAAACTGGCTACTTTTCTTCAGGGTCTTTTTACCCTAACTGCCTAGACAATTCCTACCTCCTTTTTAAAGTGTGTGTGTGTGTGTGTGTGTGTGTGTGTGTGTGTGTGTACATACAATTACATATTAAAGCATTCACTGAAAAGTCAGTTTGAAAATTGGTTAGATCTTGTTGATGGAATTATGTTTCTCTTTGTGGCTTATTTTCAAAGGCTTTTCATACACCAAGTACTACATAATTAAAAAAATATATGTATATATCTATATATATCTATATATCTGTCTGCTTAAAATATAAAGATTTAAAGTAGGTGATTAGTACTCATGGTGTGAAATGGGCCACTGAAGTAGACATCTGGATTAGTTTAGTTTCAACAGATACTGGTATCAATGTTTAGGAAAACACTTGGTCTTGAGTTACAAAGGGCCCAGTGACAATTTTCTGTCCTCTCTCTTACAGCCTAGTGTATCTTGGTGTCTTTCAGTCCAAAATGTTGGCATTGTGCAAGAACCCAAAAGCTAGAGGAAGTTATTATGTCATGTGAAAAAAACTGAAACCACGGGACGGAGTTGTTCAGTCCAGTCTGTTTTCCTGGTGTGGAAAGGCTGCTCCTGTCTAAGCTCCTAGCCAAAGCCGCACTCCAAGATGCACCTCAAATCCTGCCTCCTCCAAGATTGGTAACTGCTTTGGACTATGACAACCACTCACTTCCTGTTTTCTCTCATGTCTTACACTTGACTTCATAATCGATTGATGTAGAATCAGACTTGACACCCCATTCCTTGAGCCACGGGAGCAACGTTTTCTACTTTTGTGCTGATGGAGGTGCAGGGTATATGGAAAAATATTTTTCAAATGCTATTTCGATAAAACTAGAACTCAGAAAACTTAAAGCCTATTCCTTTAAAAATAAGACAGACAGACAAACAAAAAAATCCCCATGGTCCAGTTTTGGAAAAGCGCATTAAACAGAGTTGAACAGGCTTCTTTATGAAGAGTTTATTATAACCCTTACTATTATTTATTTATTTTTATGTGTATGAGAGTTTTGCCTGTGTGTATGTGAGGGTATATGTGTTGTGCAAAGCCTGCAGAAGCCAGAAAAGGCACTGGAACCCCTGGAACTGGAGTTACAGACAGTTGTTAGCCACCATATGGGTGCTGAGAATTGAACCTGGGTCCTCTGCAAGAGCATCCATTGCTTTTAACCACGGAGCCATCTCTCCAACCCCATATAATCCTTAATATTATAAAGATTTAAAAATTATTGCTTTTTTGGTGTGTTTTTGTGTGTGTGGTGTCACATACCATCTCTAGAGTCTACAATTTCAACTGCTGCCATCTCCGGGAACTCCATTGCAACCATATCAGGTTCTGACAGAATGATCTGGAAAGTTTCTGAGGTCTTCCACATAGCGGCTGGGATTGAACTGGACCTGTTTATGAACAGTTCCTTTAAAACTTTTATTTTCTACTGCAGTTTCATGTTTGGTTCCAATGCCTGAGTAGAGATCAGGAAACTGTCAATATGGACCCCAGTGTCTGAAAGAATATTTTCTCTTCAAAATGTTTTTCTTATTGTTAATAAAAATAGCACAGGCATTACTTATTTATTTTATTATTATTTGTTTGAGACAGGGTCTTCCTGTAGCCTCAACTGGCCTTGAACTCGCTATGTAGACCAGGCTGGACTTGATCTCAAGGAGGTTCACTATCCTTTGACTCCTGAGTGCTGGGATTTAAGGTGTGTACCGCCATACCTGGCTTGCATCTTCTTTCAACACTCCCCTCAAATACTTGTAAATATCCTTCCCAGCTTTTTAAAAGAGTATGAGTAAGAAGAAGTGAGTTGAACCAAGAGGAAAGCAGGGAGAAAGAAAGGGCTGGGAGCTGATCGCAGTGGTAGAGCCTGGCTCAGTATGCACAAGGCCTTGAGTTCCATCCCCATCATTGCAAAGAGATTAAAAAAAGCTTATTGTTACTGGGTGTGGTCGCACATGCCTTTAATCCCAGCACTTGGGAGGCAGATCTCTGTGAGCTCGAGGCCAGCCTGGTCTACATAGTGAGTTTTCCAGGTGACCCTATCTCAAAAAAAAAAAAAAATTGTCTGAAAAAGCCCAAATGAGGAGTAGCATGCAGAAGAAAGCAAACAACCATCAACTCATCTATTCTGGGGCAGCTACCCATGACCACTGATTTTCCAAACTCTACTAGGTTCTGGTGATTTAAAACATTTTATTGAATTTCTGTGTCTTTCATACAGAACATCGTAATCATCTTTATACTCCCTTTCCCACTAGCCCCCTCCCACCCCCCACCCCACTGGAATTCATACATTCTTTCATTTGTGTTAAGTTCTATCACGTCAATTGCTCTGGGGGTTTAAAAAGTATTTTTATTTATTATTTTTGCTTTATGTGTATGAGCATATTGCCTGCATATATGTAAGTGCACCTGTGTTGTGCAATGCCTGCAGAGGTCAGAAGAGGGCATCAAATTCCTTGGAACTGGAGTTACAGATGGTTGTTAGCCACCATGTGGGTGCTGGGAATCAAACTTAGGTCCTCTGCAAGAGCAGCCAGTGCTGTTAACCACTGAGAAATCTCTCCAGCCCCCAGGCTCTGGAGAGTTTAAGAGGAGTAAGAAATAGTACCCTCCTCAAGATCACTGGCAGTTTAAACAGAACACAGTGGAAAGTGGGCTTTGTGGAGTCTGGATTGTTGTTCATATGAATTCCTTGGACACAACTTGGCACATACTAGGCATAAAATAAATATTCTGGAGGTTAATGAAAATAGGGAAGAGGTGGCTATTTGGAACTCTGTCAGGAAATAGGAATTGGTAACATATGGAGGGCACTAAAGGCAATAACTCGATCATGTTTAAAGAATCCAACATTAGAGAGAGTGCCGAAAGTCTCATCAAGACTAAATAAATTCTCCCCTTTCCATGAATGTCAGACAGTGCTCTAGTATTGGTGGGGATTGCTGAATAGCCTGTCTAACCAAATTGGTGAACTCCAGGTTCAGTGAGTGACCCTGCCTTAAAAACAGGATAAAGAGTGATAGACACTTAATGTCAGCATCTGGCTTCTACATCCAGGTGCACACATGTGTGTGCATACACACACCCACATTTGTGCACATGTATCAGAGACATGATGAAGAGAGAGAAGAAAGAGAGGGGAGAGGGAGGGAGGGAGGGAGGGAGGGAGAGAGAGAGAGAGAGAGAGAGAGAGAGAGAGAGAGAGAGAGAATAAATCTGCATTCATATCATTTGGTGGCCAAGAGTGAATGCTCATTTAGAAGAGCCTCCTTGGCCATGAGTTGGAAGTGGAGAATATAAGGAGCAGTGAGAGACATCTTTGGCTGCATCTTAGAAGATCACGGTGGCACTGCTACAGGAATCATGTATGCATGTGGCTATTTGCTTAATACATATTGAGAGCATTGTCTCTGTGCAAGGTGCTGAGTATTTCACACAGAAGGAAGTGCAGCTGACAACAGAACTGAAGGCGTTTTCCCTGTATGGTGAGATAAACAAATGAACAGTTGGTTTCAATTCGTTTGACAGTGTTACGTGTAACAATGGTACTTATCATTTACTGAGTATTTGTTCTATGCCAGGATCATGCTAGATCAATTTTGAATTACTGTCATGTATCAGCTACCTACACATTTTGGGGTGGACAAGCTACACATTAGGAAACTGATGTTCTTTGGAGCAGAAAGTTAGACGTCTCAGTTTTGTTTTCTTTTTATAGATCCTGTACTTTGCTACTAACCCTAGTCTGGGATAGGATGTGGGGAATTAGAACTTTCTGGAGCAGCAGAGTGGGATGTTTTAGAGATTCATTTCTGAGGTGCAGATGTAGTTTGGAGCAGTCATGTATAAAACAGAAGGGCTGATGAGGTTCAAATAACAGCAATGCTGGCTTTCCATGTGATCATGGTGTTGGGGTTCCTGTCAGAGTGAGGCTAGCAATCTATTGGGGAAGACAGAAAGTAAACACACAGGCCTATTATGCATGCCAGAGTTGTAAGTGTTGCAAGGGGGTGCAGGTGGCAGAGGTGCTGGTTTAGGTATAATGGAAAGCCTTTTGAGGATTTGAGTTATACGCATTCAAGTGGTTCTGGACAGATATGGTTTTTTTTTTTTGGAGCCAGGTTATGAAAATTCTTTCTGACATATCAATTCAAATTCACAAGGAGGCCTTGGGCTAAGCAGATGCCAAGTTTTACAAGAGCAAAGAAGCCTATTTCAGCTGAAGTTCTTGGTTTTCTACCACTCTGCTACTGGTGACGGAGTGACCCAAGGTGTGCACTGAGGTTTTGACTGACCTCTTTCCTAAGAGAACAGTCTCCTCTGGAAGCTTCCTGTAAAGCTCACCTTTTCTTGATTGACTTTTTTTTCTGTAGTCCATTTCCTTTCTGACTTCTCTTCTAGGGCTTTGACATGTTGGCTGGATCCTGCTTGTGTGAGAGACTCTAAGTGCTCATTTGTGAAATGAAGATAACATACCCCTATCTGTCTGCTCAACAGATTACAAAAATAAAGACAAAATGATTTTGAAGTTTCTGTTAGTTAACAGAGGCATTAAAATATAGTGGGTTCTTAGAACAATTAGTATTAATTATTAATGATGACAATGAGATTCACTATGTAGGCTCTGTCTACATGTTTCTTCCAATGAGCTGTAGTTTGCTAGTATGTCTTTGTGACACATAGAACAACTTGATACTTTATATGCCCTTCAGGAATTATAACCTTATAGCTGTGTTGAAATGAGTATACATAATCAAATAGCTAAATTTAAAAAGTAATGCATCATATTCTCACAAATAATTCTTCAAAAGAACTTCTAGAACTAAACATGATAATGCATTACATACTTAAAATTTTTTAAAAAAGAAATTGGGTGACTTGGGGATTATGGAATGGCAGAAAATGTCCTAATTTTTCTGGAGTTATTTTTTGAGTTATATGAAGAAAGAAAATATAGCCTGTCAGGAAAAGAAAAACCATGAAGGAAAATAGTCAAAATGAATCAGCCTATTCACACAACACAATTTTCACATAGACTTTGTAGGGGCTTTTGTCAAACCAGCTACTATTTCTCTTTTAATCTATTCTCTTCTGATTATTTCAAATCTGCATTTTATGTTTCCATGTCCCTTTGCTGACAATAATTTCTAAGTTACTTACTGATGAAAGATGTGCTTCTAAGGTAGCCCCTGTGTGTGAGGGTCACATCTGACAACACAGAATCTTCACCTACAATATAATATTCTCTCTCTAAGAAATCCAAGCCCAGTTTAGATGGAAAGGCTGATCTGCTAGCTTATTTCTACCTGTAATTGATAGAGGTAAAGAGAATATTAGAAGTATGTGATGGCAAAAACAATAGCCAGGGTTTGTATTTCTTTCTTTGTACAGAAGAAAGGTCTTTGATTTTCTAGAGAACATCATGAGGGCTATCTTGAGTCCTATTCCCTCTGCTTCATGTGGAGAGAGCCAGCTGTGTCCTTTTCGTAAAGAAGTTGTGCACAGGGTTCCACGAAGCCAGAGTTCCTGGTTTTAGGTTCAGATAATTCTTGACACTGCTGTCCTTTCCTCCCTGCTTTTCTAGTTTCTGTCCCTCTTCCAGGCCCCTCCTTCCGTTTCTTCTTCTGCCCTGTGGCCTACTAGTTTGTATCATTTGCATATTCATTTGCTCTCATGCTAATCTAGAAGTTCCTTGACAGAAGCATTCATTTTATATGTATAGCCAATCTTAGGAGCAAAAATGATATCTTGAGCTCAGATATTTAAATGTTTTAAGAAGTGGAAGGCAGCAAGCAAAGATATCAAAGCTGTAGCTGATTTCTGCTTGTCTATCCCAGGTGTAGGACGCTATGTGGATGATGAATTTGACCCTTTGTTGGGGCCGTGAGATGTGTGGAGATCAGAAGAAAGAACAGGTTTCCATCAACTGAACAGTGGTTGTTGCAAATAATGTCTTGTAGCTAAGGGCCCCTGTCATATATATCAGATACCAGAGTAAGTGGGAAAAGACTATCATATGGAAAGTTTGTCAAAGAAAATTTTACTAACCAGTTCTGTACCTACTGAACCCCTTAATCAGGGCAAGGATATCAAAAGAGGGCAGTGTATGGAAAAGAAATAGGGAGTCAGTAAGCCAGTTCTTTAGAAAAGACTGGTACCATGGCAGGAATTCATACCACCTAAGAGGGGTAAGATTGTGGGCAGGGGCTGCAATGTTCACCTCCAGTGTAGAGGAAGTGGGTTTCAATGACTTTCTTGGAGACCTTCCCTTGTTTTTACATAGTAGAAGATTCAAGTGGCTGGCTCTTCCCTGGCAAAGCTTATGTGGCCTTGGTAGGGTGTAGAGTGAGTGACGAGTGCTTCACTGGGGAGAACTGCAGAATGGGACAGGGAAAGCACAACTGGATCAGAGGTGGCTCATTACCCTATTGGGCTTAGTGAAGAAGGAGAGGGGGTCTCGGCAGGACAGGAGCTGGGAGTTATCCTAAGATTCCCACAGTCTACAGAGACAGTAAGTAAAAGGAGCTCTAGGCAAGTGGTATCTAGAGACAGAAGTCTTCAAGAAACCTATGGAAACACCCACTGAGGAAGAATCCCTTCTAAATAGCTGCCAGCTGACAGACCCAATAGCTGCCAGCTGATATTGGATGACAATAATGCTTCTCATATTGAAATATACTCTGTCCCCTTCATTTCTTTTCTCTTTGGGCAAGCCCTGGAGAAAGCTGAACTCAAAGGCTTGCTAGTAAGGTTGGAGAACAATGAGCATGGCAGGAGGAGCTGGTCTCAAACCTTCTTCCACATCACAGGTTCTGCCTTTCTCTGAAGAAAGTTCAACACAAGCACGTTCTTATACCATGTGGGTCCTAGGGACTGAATTCAGGTTGTTAGACTTGGTGCCTAGTGCTTTTACCCTCTGAGCTTGAGTTTTTTCTTTTTTTACCAGCCCTTGAGTTTTTTATTTAGTATGAATATAAGATTTTTTAAATTTGAGAGTTATTAGAAAAGTTGATGTGACTTACCAAGTGACCATAGAGTAGGAGAAGAGGAACTCTTCTTCCAGTTTCCACGAGTAAATGTCAAAAATGCACAACTGAATGTATAACGTGATTTCACCTCAGACTGTGCTTATTGGACAATCAGAATACACAGTGAAGTTTAAGTGAAAGAGAAACCAAAATGTTGATTTTTAAATGCTTAGTTTGTATTTGTTTTCTTTTTATTAAATAACTTTAGTAAATATATGAACATTCTGATGAATACAGAAAAATGAAACATGTTAGAAATTGTATAATATTATTTAAAAGAAAATATTGATATTTGTTCCAATTTGAAACCATTTTGATTCTTTAATACAACCCTGTGGATTTTTTTTCTCTTTTTTTTATTTTAATTTTTTTTTTTACAATTAAAGTTACAGTTTTAACAATATACAAAATATTACAGTAATTCAGATTTTTTGGCATAATGATTACAGGTTTGATAAATACATTTCATATCTCATAATAGCGATGAAGATTATACAAAAGCTATTAAAACAATTATGAGAATAAATTCAATTGTCACTTAAATATCTAAA